ACAGAATGCTGATATTGCCAGTCTCTGACCCAATCAAACCAATGTCATTTATGTGATTTAGCCTTATGTAATTTAGCCACATAACCAAGAATAAAATTATTTAACCCAACAAAATTAATACTCCATATTTCTTTTTGCAATATGTTCTGCAGATAGATACACTGTTTAATGGACGTATTTCTTGTACTCTAATCAGTGCCATCCGTAATATTTTCTGTCTGGTGACCTGAGGAGGCCACAAGCAATAAGCACAGATGGATACCGTCTTGTGTATACATCTCTACTAAACTGAATAAATGCAGGGTTAAAGTAGCACATAATTTTTTACACTTGAAATTCAGTGCACTCACCTTTTCATTTGGGGTTGAATCCAATCCCACTAGGCCTATGAGGTAAACATTTGCTGAGCGTTTAAAATGTTTTCCATGCATTAAAAAAAAAACCCTTGAGGGCTATTGTCACAAACATTTTCTGTCTTTCATCTCTGTAGAATACTATCACAGACAGGCAATGCAATCACTGTTACTACTGAGAATGCTGAGAGTTTAGTGTCCATTGAGAGTTACCTTTTCACAAAGTTTTTGGTCACTGTTCTTTGTGCTATTTACGTAAGAGAAAACCAAAGCTGAGCTGGCATGTGACTCCAGGCCCAAGTTCTATCTGCATCAAAAATCATACTCACGATTAAGGATAAGATTTTGTCATACTATTTTATTTTTAGTAAAAGTCATGGACAGATCCCGGGCAATAAACAAAAATTCACGGAAGCCATGTGTGGTGTTTAGATGCTGCTTGTAATTCTTAGAACTGGGAGCACTGGCATTTGGGAGTCTGAAAGGACAGGAAACAGGAAGGAGGCGGGGGGAAGTTAAGGAGGCGGAGTGAGAGCTACCAAGGGTGCAGCAGCAGCTTGGTAAAGAGGTTTCCTCGTTAAAAATAAAGTCCTGTTGAAGTTTGTTAGTACCTTGCCTGGTTGCTACAACACCATGACCTGTCTGTGACTTTTGCTGCTGCAACTCCATGGTTTCTCCCACCACCGTGGTGGCTGGGAGCTGTGGGGATCCCCCTCCGCCCATGGCGACTGCGAGCTGCAGGGTGACCATATTTCCCAAAGAGAAAACGGGACATCCCAGCCACTCGCCCAAGGCAGCCCCCTCCCACCCCGGGAGGCTGTCCCCCCATTGCTGGAACCCTGAGGAGGGGCCCCTCAGGAGTCTGTCACCTGTGGCTGGAACTTTGCAGCCCCTTCCATCCCCCCCATCACTTGTCGCTGCTGTTGCCTGTCACTGGAACCCTACCAGGGCCCCACTGGCTGTCAGCTCCAGAGTCCTGCAGCCCCCGGGGAGGCTCTCTGTCATGGACGTCTCTGGAAATCTCAGATTCCCTACTTCCATGACATCCCTGTCATAAATGTAGCCTTACTCATGATTTATGCAAGGTGTCTGTGTGTAAAATCTTGATGGGGCAAGGGGAGTAAATCCATGATGGAAGGCTATCCCTGTGGACTTGCTCTGGACTGTGACACCCCCCTGCCCTGGCTAAGCTGCACTAGCTGGTATATGGGGGAGGGGGCAGATCCAGAGCTCCAGCTAGTTCCCACCCCTGCCCACCTACCTGTGTGGGAAGAAGAGTTGCAGCCCATCAGTAGCTGTTCTTTCTTTGCCCAGGCACGCTGGACTTGGGCAGTGGATTGACTTTGGACCCTGCCTTCCCTGGGTAGATGTGTAACCAGGTTCATGATTCAGCCCCCTACCTCAACCCCCCATGGTTTGAAGCCATTTTCCAAGCTCTTCCTAAATGCCATATTTTTTTCCTCACAGAAATAATGCACAAAAAGGCCCCACCACTAGACATTATCTAATGCTTCAAAAAATCTTTTCCAGTTTCTGAAACCTCTCCTGTTTGTCACCCCTCACACCATAGTGTGTATTTCTAGGCTCACTGCGCTGTGGCAGGGTGGTTGGCCTTAGGCCTTCTTCTTTGCAGCACACCCAGGGCTTGCCCATCAGCTCATTAATGTACACTAAGGCGTAGCTTACTGATTAAACTGCCTCTCAGGAACCTTGCTGCTCACTGTAGCTTATCAAATAAACATGCCATGCTACCAATAATACTCAAATACTCAGCTGAAACAAGCATTGACTCTTTTATAGTCAAACAAATGCTATCGTGCTGAAACAAGTCATCTTTAGACAATAACAAGCTGGAATAGATATATATTCTCTACTAGCTGCAGCAAGGGGAATGTATTACAGAGACTCATCCTGAGTCATGCATCAGTCCCTTCACATTGCTCCTGCTGAAAAGAAATGAGGATGGCTCCAGTGAAGGGGGAGTTTCCAATAGCCACAGAGCTTGTATTGCGGGCTCTTGAATCATCTTTGTGCAGCCTCCAGGATCAGAGGTAATGATAGGATCATTTCCTAGGGACAGCAGGATATAAAGAGACGCTGTGGCACTCCATTAATCTCCAGTTGGCTGAAAGCCCCTTGCGGCCCCAGCCAGCTTGCTACAGTTTAAAGCAGGCCCAGGTTGGGTAGCTGCAATTAGTTTTCCCCAGCTCAGCTGTCTCTAGTAGATACTGGGCACCACTGCTTTTATGTCCCACTCATCACCATGGCTTTTTATTGCAGATGATAGCCACCCCACCCCCACATATTTCTCTCTTTCTGAATTGTGTAGAAATACGTTTCGCCAATACAGCTGGGAGACCCTTTTATGCCGACCCTTTTTTCAGTGAAAAATGCAGATTCAGCAACAGCAAAATGCTTTGTAAATTCATATCAGTTTTGCCAAACGTTTGTGGAGGGGGGAGTAAAAATTCTGAACAAAATCAAAATGTTTCATTTTGGCATTTTCTAAACAAAACCGTTTGATTTTTCAGCATAAAACAACTCTTTGTTCAAAAATTTCCTTTAATTTAATTTGTTTTAAATTAAAAAACATTAAAAAATTGTCAAAATTCGAATAAAACATTTCTGATCTTGTCAAAACAAAATTTTTCACTCAACCCAAAATGATTTTTTTAAAAACTTTTCATTTCACCAAACCTTTCTAAAATTGTTGGTTCAACTCGAAACAATTTTTTTGACATTTTGAAATTGCCAGTGTACTGAAAAATCCCTAATTCACACAGCTCTATTCATAGATGAACTTGGTATTATCTTGTGCAAGAAAGTGCATAAATCACTCCAACAGAATAGAGTCTTCTTTTTAATCCAGAGCTGTTTACTATTTAGACTTCTAAAATAAACCATCATCTCAACATGCCACCTCTAAAACATTCTTACAACTAGACATGACAACCCCTGAATATAACCAGGAAACATTCTGTATCATTTATCAAAAGTAGGACGTCATTTATATTTAACATCTCTTTTTTTTCCTTTTCTCTCTCTTTTTTTTAAGATCTATAAGTATATCCATTACATTGACTCTGTCTCACAGTCACTGAGGGCCCACTGGGCATCAAATCCTACTACTTTGCAAATGAGCAACTCTTAGTAAAATCAATGGGCGTTTGAGGTTTACATGAACAAAGCACCTAAATGACTTCTGAAAGAGGGACTTAGGTCCTTTTGAAAATTTGAGGCCTGCAACAGAGAAACACCTCCACGTGTTAAGTGTGTAAAAGGAGGTATAAAGGGTGATGAGCACCCACAAGTCCAACTGAAGTCAATAGATTCTCTGTAAATCAGGCCACAAATGGATGGAATAAGGCAAGGCAACAGAGCAACCTCAATAGGAAAAAAATAGCCATAGTAATGGACTCACATTGGTTGAAGATGCAGAAATAAATAAGCAATTACAGTTATTCAAAAAGCTGTGGCGATTGTTCGTTCTTGTGATGGGTCAATGAGAGAAGGCAGGAGCCCATGTAGCCATGCTATTCTCCATTGTTCACCATCCAAAGAGGAATAGGCAGCATGGTAAAAAGGGCGGGAAGCGTGACCTGGGAAGTGGATAGAGGCCTAGATTCTACAAGTGACAAGGGCCCAAGCCCCATAGATTCTAAGCCAACTGCACGGAGGTGCTTCCCTTCCACGTTCTTCACAGGCTCACCCTTCCATCACCCATACAGCCGGCTTCGCTGTCATGTTGCTCTTTTTTTTGCCAGCTGTACAGCATGCTTGTGAACCTGCCAACAGAACCTTCATTCTACGGGCAGCATATACTCACCTTTCCAATTGCACTTCCTTGGAGGTGGAGCATGTCATAATCAAGTGACTGTTCTGAGACCCCCTTCATGTAGGCTGGCGCCCCTGCCCTCCAGCACCCAAAGTCCATTAATTTATGTGGAATGTGTGGCAAATACACAGAGGCACACTGCACATACAGCAGTCAACTTTCCTCTTTGTGCAATTACCGTAGTCTCATTTCCTGCTTGATTAATGCCTCTAATATTTTCCTCTCTCTCCTTTCCATGCAGATGGAAGTGAGCATTTGTGCCATGATGACTGACCACCAGATCATTTGAAAGAACAGCTGCATACTTGCTTTAGAACAATGCTAATGGAACAGCACTACAGCCAAAGGAAAAGAATCATTCATAAATAATCTCTCCATTTTGAAGAGACTTTTATTTCATTTATTTATTTCATTTCACAAAGACTAGACCAGCTGTGTCTTAAAACAACATTCAGATCAGCCATAGTTTTAGTTATTAATGGCATCACATTGATATGCATTTTCAAATAATGTAGCAAAGAACAAGGATAACATAAATCAGAAATAATTATCTATATATTACAGCCATTCTCTGAAAAACTGTATTATGCAGCAATACCTTCCAAACAGGGACACTGTGTACAGTGTAATGTATACACACAAGCCTCTCTGGTATCTATATCATAGATGACAAAGATTCTGCTAAAATGATATCCTGAACTTCAGGAAACACACACGCACAGTACATAACTTATGTGTGTGTGTGTTTGTGCACATGACCCAGTTGTACTATGCATATCAGTGAACACCTATAATTATACAGGGTTACTCACCTGCCTAGCAGCAAAAACTCTCCAGCCAGACCCAAGCGCCTCATGGCCATTAGCAGCCCTCTCACAGTCATGCCCTCACAGAAGCAAGCAACCACTCTTGCCTTGGGCAGGTGGCTCCTTAGCTTTTTCAACAGCTTGTCAAAACTCTGTTCGCCAGCATTGCTATAGATCTTGTAGGAATGGGCAATGCAGATCCCCTCCTTGCCCGACATATCTTTGAAGGCTTCCATTCCACTCTCACCATAGTTTCCTACATGGAAATAAAAGAAACCCACAAACTGTAAATTAATAGATTAAAATTTCAAGAAGGTTTTCCATATTAGGAAATAAACAAATCAGGTTAAATGCATTGGTATTTTATTGGTGTTTACATTACTGATGCTAACAAGGTACCATTAAGAAATATTCTTTTTTTAAAAAAAGAGAGAGAACACAATGCTTACAACAAAATGTTTATAAATCACAGAACTAACCTAACCCTTCAAAGTCTGCTAAATTGACTGAATTAGCTCAGTTGCTTTGAGGTTTTTGGCAGTTTTTAAAAGGTAAAAATAATTGTTCAGAACTAATTGTTTGTTTGTTTTCTTCCTGCTTTAAAATATTCTGAATGTTAAAAATGTTAATTAGCAAAAATGTGACTTTGTAAATAACACAATCTGAAGCATACCAGTATTTTAAACATGCTAATAATGTATGCGTGGCAAAAGTAATCCTCTGAGGAAAGGTCCTTTTCTGCGCATCTCTAGAGAAAAGGTGGTAAAACTGAAGACACAGAGGTCATGGTAAGCTAAAATCCTAGGTTTTGTTTTTGTTTTTTTATTCAAGTAGAAATGTAAATCCAAACCAGAATAAAAGAGCTTTCATGCTTTCTCGCATGCTGCCCCTCACGCACAGGAGAAGCTCCTTGTAAACATTCACAACCCCCCCCCCCCATTATCTCTTTCAAATCCTTCCTTAAAACATTCCTTTGCTAAACTTGACCATGATTTGGGCATTGGTGTCCTGAGACTGAGGCCTAACAAGCAGACCAATATTGTCTCATTGTTTCCTTGTCTCTCTGCCTGTATTCACCTGTTGCTCCTTGTCTTTGATAGCAAGCGCTGTGGAGCTGGGACCATCTCTTTGTTATCCGTTCATATGGCACCTAGCACAATGGCATACAGGTCCATGACTGGAGCTATGAGGCACCACCACAATACAAATAAGAAGAAGACAGTGAGAGACCAGGAAAGTGAGACCGCTGCTGGGAACTGATCCCCAACTCATCTGTGTTAGTGCCTCAGGGAAAGAAACTCTAACCAGGTGCAAACTTTACAGAATATCAACATAATACAGGAACATACTAAAACAGTGACAATGGAAAGATATTGCATTGAGTGGTTAGAGCTGGATCTGGGAATTTGGACTCATAAGTTTTACTTCTAGCTCTGCCACTGTGTAGCTTTACGACTTTGGGCAAGTCATTTCCAGCCCTCTCCAACTCAGCTAACACATCTATGAAATAAACATCATTTGTATTATGGTAGACTCTTGAGGCCTATTATGATAGGCACCATAAATAAACATAATAAGAGACTGGCTCCAGCTTGAAGACCATTCACTCTAAATAGACAGCACAGACAAAGGGTAAGAGAAAGGAAGTATTTTACACAAAGAGAAATGAGGCATAGAGAGATTAAGTGACTTGTGTGTGAAAGGTCATACTGTCAGTTTGTGGCAGAGCCAGGATTTCAACCTAGACCTTCTGGTTTACAGTCTAGAGTTTTAACCACAAAACTACCCTCCCTCCCATATTAGGATTAAAACTGGTCCAAAATCAGAAGTTCTGCCCGATTCAAATCTGGAAGAACAATCAAAATATGATCAATTCTCACAAAACAGAAAGTTCAAAAACTGTTTGATTTTGGAATGTTAAAATGTTTCATTTTGGCTTAGTTCAATGTCAGTTTGTTTTCCTCTAAGCTGCTGTGGTGTCTCATGGACCTGTAGCTTGCATGTCTCATGACCCATTTTAATCTATGAGCCTGGCTCTTGAGCCAGAATATATCTCCCATGATGTACCATGGTCATGTGGCTCACGTGAGGCAATGCATCAGTTCATCCAGAGGCTGAGACTGCAGTAAATCATGGGAAATGTAGTCTAGCCAGGGAACCCAGCCGACAGACTAAATGGAGATATTAGGTACTCAAACTACAATGAGGTCCTGCAGCACTTCAGGCCTACACAAATTAATGGCTTACTGACCCAAAATGAAACATCAAGTTGGTTTGAAAAAATATACATATTTTCTTTTTACCACCTTTCAAGTTGCAGTGGGGGAGGTTTAGATTGGATATTAGGAAAAACTTTTTCACTAAGAGGGTGGTGAAACACTGGAATGCGTTACCTAGGGAGGTGGTAGAATCTCCTTCCTTAGAGGTTTTTAAGGTCAGGCTTGACAAAGCCCTGGCTGGGATGATTTAACTGGGAATTGGTCCTGCTTTGAGCAGGGGGTTGGACTAGATGACCTTCTGGGGTCCCTTCCAACCCTGATATTCTATGATTCTATGATTCTATGGAGGTGATAGGCACTATCAGGACAGGATTGTATTCCTACAGCCCAATAGCACCTTCTTTCAATGTGACTACTTTGGAATGTGAGGATGTGACCGGTCGCTTCCCAGCTTATGGTTGCCTCTGTCGCTTAGCCAAAGGCCTTAGCCTAAGAACAGGGCCTCAGACTGTCACAGTAAGAGAAGGACCTTACACTGGCAGACAGTGATTTTGATTCTTTCTTTTATACCTCTAACTAGCCAAGTGATAAGAATACACCTAAATTCTTAAAGTACAGGCCTTTATAGACAGCCCTGAATATCTATATCCTAACACTCCACCCCTTTTTTTTCTTTTTCTTTTGGGATCCTCCTGCCCAGGTATCCCTGGAAAAGCATAGGACATATGGCGACACATTTCCTAATAGGGCCAGGCATCAAGGTGGAAGGTGTCGATGCTCCATCTGTCCCACTGCCCCTTGTGTAGTACCATGCCCTGCACCTTCTCTCATATGGGCATACTACACCTATTCCAATTAGTGTTCCAGACTTCCCAGTATAGTGGGCCCGAGAAGGTTGGGTCCGGGATGTCTAGTACACGTGGGGGGGGGCTTACTACATTACTTATAGGTTATAATTAGTGGCTGTTCTCTAGGGGGTTGTGCCCCCCTTGATCGTTTCCATATGCAATGTAACACACATATAGTTAACAATACACCAGCTGCTATGATAATCCACAGCAACACCGAGAGTCCTGACCACTGCAGTATGGTCCAACATCCTGGCCACCACCAAAAACAGTGCTTCTCCTCCTTTGATAAGGTTAAAATTTTGTCAACGCCATCCTGTAGTGTGTATTGTAAGTGTGTCCAACTGTTGGCGCTTTCAGCAAGTTGCTCTTGTAATTTTTGTGTACTTTTGTCCATATTGTGTGTCCATAGAATATCCACAGTGAAATTTGGTATTGTCCAAACCAATTCAACTACTTGGTACAGTATGGGGTAGTAGGTGCTGGTTCGATTGTTTACAATGATTAAGTCCACTGATCCATTGGTGCACCTTAGTCCAGGTGGCAGTGTATAGAAGTTCATAATTTTGTCATACACTGGAAGGATTTTGCCTCCTAGTGTTATATTGCAGGATTGCATACATTCCCAACAGAATACACCGTACCCCATATACATTACCCCTAAATGCACCCCCTTTGCAATAGGCCATTGATCCTGCTCCTCCATAGTCATAGGAGAGGGGCACATCCATATTCCTCCTCTGGATATACAACTGCTTAATGTGATGACAGTCCATTTTACCCCATTCCACCCCCCCCCACCTATTCCCTAATGGCTCCCAACGTGCTCCCCCTTCCCTACTTACTCCCATAGGGTTCAAGGGAACCACCTTATTTGCATTTCCTTCCCATGGTATCATAGTAACAATTACACAAGAACTGTCCCCACAGGTTGGAGATGTTATTTTCAAGGTAGATGGGTATGTTTTTGCAATTGTGGATAAATATGGGCTAGCCTCCCGATTTAATACTGAAGGCCATTGTTCTGACCAAGCATCTCTCATAATATCCATTAACATTATTAACTGAGCATTTTGAATACCTACGCACACTTCTCCCCATGTTAGTCTTCTGAAGCCCTCCTCTACCCATGTCACCAGGTCCCCTGCCCAATGAGTTAACTGCAAGTTTACCTCTACTGCTGTCCTCCACCCTGTGGCAACTGCTGATAGTTGCTGTGCCATTAATTCATTAATTTGTTGTTGAAATTTCACATTTTGGCTTACTAATTGTTTGGTTACCCACTCGTCCCCCAGATTCCATGTACCCAGTATAGTGTTCCCAGCTGCCCACAATCCCCTTTTCCGACGACGATTCCAGGAGTGTCCCCTCACCCACGCATTGAATTGTTGTTTCAATCCTTTTATGTACATACTACAATTTGGTCCACCCACCATTCCTTGGGGTTTACCACCCATGTAATAGAGTGAAAGGACACATTAAAAAGTGCTGGCTGCACCTGCTCCCACAATGGCTCCCAGACATTTGCTCGTCAGGGAATATTCTTGGCTCCAGGCTGTAGCCACTTTAAATTTGGATTCTTCCAACTTGGCATCCATATCACCTGTAGGGTTACATTCTGTAAAATGGTTAACTCATTGTACACCCAGCGTCCCAAAGGGGATTTTACGCCTAATGTAATATGTACATAACAATCACACCTTCGGGGATTATCTTCCATGGAAGTACCATTGTGGTTACATATGGTAACATCACACCCTAAATGTGGGGCCCTATTTTCCTAAGAGGGTTCATTTGCTCCAGGAGACCAGAGGGTTATATTCTTTGGACCCTCTGTAACAAAACCACATAGCTGGGTAACTGTGTTTTCCACTATCGTTAATCATGGCACATTATTATGTCACAAATGTACTGGTCATGTAATATTTCAAGTCCCTGTAATTTTGTTACACCATACAGTAAGTGGTGCCTCATATAAAATGAAAGAAAGTGCTTCAAAATAATGAGGCCACTTACCAAATTATGCAGATTTTCAGCATTCGGAAGAAAAACATCCTGATATTCTAACTCTGAAAGTGACTGAGTTTCCGAGTTGAGAAAACTCTAGCTGTGTGGTATGAGCTTGAGGGAGATTCAACAAAAACATAATGCAGTTTTGCATCAAGGTTCTTGTACAAATCCACTTGTCA